TTCCTTCAAGCTAATTTTAGTCTGACCCATATAGAACTGTTCATGAAACAAACGCTCTAACTGGGTTCAATTACATATCGTGTTAGGGGGAGCGTCGTGAATCAGGTGAAGGCGTTCTTAGTAAGAGAACTTGGGAAGTATTTTATCCTAAGGCTTTCGTCGTTCGCTATCTCTCCAGCCTCAATTAAGTAACGAGCCACATGTTCGACGGTGGATTTCGTCGTATCTCCTAAGAACTTAGTGAATTTAGGTACTTTCGTCCTAGGAGGTAACTCCGCCTGAAGGATATAGTCTACTATAGGTGAAGTGTAATTTGGCCTAGTAAAACCGGTGTTTAACCCATTTCTGGCCATAATTCTCTCGACCATTGCCGCTAGATTATTGTCTACGGCTATGTTGTTTCGACGAACACGCTGGACTACATTATCTGCATCTTGGTTTCGATTTACAACCACCACTCCTGGATTTCTTTCTCCCAAGCCACGGGGTTGGTTTTGCAACGGCTCTTCCCTAAGCTCTTCGACTACCGGAGGGACTATCCTTCCTTGGTTTCCTACGCCGACTTCTATCACATTTGCCAGGTTATCTCGTGGGGTGTTCGCTACTGCGACTTGGTTTCTAACTAAGGGAGGTACCCCCATGAATTCAGCCAATCTTGTTAATTGTACCGCCAATTGTTGATTGGTCTGGGTTGTATTTTGGATTAATGGCTGAAATATTTCGCCCATGGTTTGTGACAAAGTCTGAACCATCTGTGGGTTACTTTCATCCATTTGTTGTCTCAAACACGCAACCGAGGTGTTGGTCAAATTGGGGCCTTGTGTCGAATACCCTAAACTCTGGGGGTTTCGACTCATGTTCACACCTGACCCCGACCCTTGCAGTGGCGAAGCCATCGCCTGATCTGAAAATATAGGGGGTGCGCTTTGGAGCCCTTGCATCATAGCAGTGGGCATCCCATATAAGGGGTTTCTTGGTGACTGTGAAAAACTAGGAGGCACAAACTGCCGGGACGTCGAACTTCCTCCTAACAAAATATGAGGATTCGACGTCTGGTGACCAATGTATTCCAACACTGGTTGAGTATAAGGCCTTATCACTGTCGATCCCACCCCAAGTGCTGAAGGCGTCGGCACTGGCCTCACAAGAAGCATCGTTTGTTCCCCAGTCGACGGTATCGGAGGGGGAACTCCCTCGTCTCTTATTCCTTCGAGGGAACCGTCTCCTGGTTGGTTGGAGTTATCTGACTGGTTTGTATCCGTAGCCATGTTCTTACTGCTTCGTCTTGATCGCGTCTCTTCGTTTATAGCGGTAATTTTACCACTTCTCAGTAACATAAAAGTGTACCTTCTCACGAAACGGGATCAGTAAGACTGCAAAAAATTTTTTTTTTAAAGTTTAGTTTTATAAAATAGATTTTGTAGCACTGTCCCACTGGGCGTGCCATTTTGTTTCCCTTGAAAATCGAAAAACAACCGCTGATCTTCCAAATCTAACTTTGGTGACTCACAGGATCAATCAGATTGATCCTAGGACATGTGCTAAAAGAATTATTTTTTGGTTTTAAGAATTTATCCAAGTTCCACACTCGAATAGGGTTGGGATAAACAGAATCCTAAAAGAACATCTATTCGACTACGGGTTAATTTGAAGGTAAAATAAGGCTTCTAATAAAAGAGAAGAAAGTTTGTTGGTAAAGGTGAATCTGGATTGAGGACGAAGAGAAAAGAATTGCATAGGAAAAGGAGGAATAAGGTAAGGAGTAAAAGGGTAAAGACAATAAAGGCAATAAAGGACTTTGTAAAACTTAAAATAAAAACAAGTAAATTGCATTAAGTTAAAAAAAATGGTGTGTCTACATCACGTACATTCTCTTACAATACTCGCTTTCTCTACACTCGGATACTTGGAGTAATCTCAAGAGTAATTTGTACAATAGTAAATTACAACACCCTTTGGATATGTCTAAGACACTCTATTTATAGTAACAAAAAATAACCTCTAATAACTTCCACCATAATCTCCTTCCGCCACTTGTCTTAAATGCATGGCTCCATTATTCATAAGGTGACACGTGTCTCCCTCAATTTTCCACAAGCAGAACCGTTCCCTCCAACATTCAAATTTCAAATACTTCGACGCATCATTCGTTATCGGCAGCTGGTCGAACCCATGGCCCCTGGGTGAGTCCTTCGACTTAGCTTCTTCTTTCTTTCGACCATTTTCTTGCATTCAAGGTATTCCATACCCTTTTTCTTTGGACAACTTCTTTTTAGCTGAGGCGTCGAATTTAGGAGCTAACACGCCCAGCGCGGCTTCCGTCTTCGGGTGGCGTCTGGACACCGTGAAGTGTCGTGAAAATAGGTCCTTTAGGACCCTCCACGACGTTACGGACTCTGGCTCCAAGCTCTTGTACCATGTCATAGCCCCCTTCTGCAGGGTCGTCGGGAAGAGCCTGTATTTGATGGCTCCCCGGACATTACGGTAGTCGAGCATAGCCTCGATATCTTCCAGGTGATCGTCCGGGTCCGAGGTGACGTCGTACGTCGAGAGCACAGGTGGTTTCTCCATTCCGTGGGTGATGGGAGCTGCCATAATCTCCTGAGACAAGGGGGTCCTGTAGTCGTCCTCGTCGCTGAGAATCGGGGACGGAGGAGGTGAAGGCCCGTGTCGTGGAGGGGGTTGATTTCGTACCCTCGGTTGCCTGACCGGGGGTTCCGCCCCCGTCGTCCTCGGCTCCTGGGCTCGCTTCTCTTTCCTGACGACGACCTTGCCCGCTTCTTGGAGACAATGGGTTAGGGCCTCTCCAAATGTGGTCGGGGACTTCGTGGACAAGGTGATGGACTTCTCGAGTTCTCGTAGTGCTCTTCCCACGGAGGGGAGCGGGACGGGGCCTCGTGTTCGAGCGCGCCAATGCGTTGATTCTGTTGGAACAGCATCTGGTTTGTCTGGTTGATGGCCGCGAAGAGGGCGGCCATCGTCGGGTCCATGCCAGCCGGAGTGGGGATAGGCTAGAACACTGACGGGCTTCTTGCCCGAGGAACTTCGTGGTGCAGTGTGCCTTCGGGGGAAGGGGAGGCAGTCTGGCCGTCTCTGACGTCGTTCTCACGGAGTTGAGATGTCCCTATGTGATCGTTGCCGTTGGCAGCGGGGATGAGGGAGGAGTTATGAACAACGTCATCATGGTGTGGGCTAGTCATGATTCTGAAGTGTTGAGAGGTGAAACTTTGGTTCTCTGCTCGGAGGTACGGGGAAGTTTAATTCCCACAGACGGCGCCACTAATCTGACCTGATTAGAAGGGAATCGCTGGACCGTCACGCGTCTTTGATCTGCTGCCTATTCACCGGTGGTAAGAAGGAGGAGGGGTGTACCTGCAAGACACTCCGATGCCAAAATGAGTAATGGACCAGAGTGAGAGCAAATACAAAAAAGAGATAGAGAATTGAATTGAATATCTGACCCTCTAGTGAAAGAGGGTATTTATAGTGAGACCCCAATGCAAGGCCAACAACCAGTTGAGTTGGGCTGGATGGTCAGGCTCAACCCAAGTGACTGCTAGGGCTTACGTGGCGTAGTGAAGACCAGCACGTGGTCTTCGCCCTAGTTCAACCATCTCGTGGTCTCCGGAAGGTGGATTGACCAACTCTTGCGGAGGTGGGTAGTTGGGTGAGGACGTGTCCCCGCGGAGGGGAGCACATGGAGAACGTGTGGTGGACACGTCGTTCTGCTCGAAGAAGGGAAAGTTCTGCCTGCGGAGGGTAGTGTCTGCTCGACGGAGAATCCTTGTTCTCGACGTATGTGATATGGGCCTGCTTGAACTTTCCCAAGTAGTATTGGGCTGGGTCTGCCCGGTCAAGCCGGGGCCCAACCCATATATATATATATATATATATATATATATATATATATATATATATATATATATATATATATATATATATATATATATATATATATATATATATATATATATATATATATATATATATATATATATATATATATATATATATATATATATATATATATATATATATATATATATATATATATATATATATATATATATATATATATATATATATATATAAACAATATCTACTTAATATAATATTAAGGTATTTTATTTACTTTAATTAAAAAAGAGAGAGAGAGAGATTTGGTAAGCCCATTAAATTGACGAATATATTTTAACTTTAAAAAACTATTTTTTAATATTAAAAATATGACATTTAACTTTTTTACTATTATAAAAATGAGATTTACTTTTTTTTAATTTTACTATTATAAATATGAGATATCGTTTGACTATTATAAATATAAAGTATTATATTGACAAAAAAAAAAAGATTGATGTCTATCAACAATTTTGAAAAATCAAAATACTTATATAAATAGATAGACACAAGAGCTAGAAAAGGAGAAGTGTGGAATCAAGTACACTTTTGCAATTAAATTCTAAACTCATTCTTAATCCATTATTTGTTGAATGTTTGTTAAGATAAGAAACCCCACACATGATCATCAATATCATGCTCTTCTCTTCCTCTCTCTTTCTCACCACTGTTCCCTTCCTTTCTACCTTCCAATAAAAAACACCCACCTATAATCAGACAAACAAAACGTTGTTTTTATAACTCTCTTTGTTTCTTCTTCCACTTCCATTCCATCATCATTATTTTAACCAGAACAAACTACCAACAACTTCTCTTACCCGTTCTTTCCTCTGTCTTTTCCATACTTTGCCGTTTCTTAAAACAACAACAAATTTCTGGGTATTTTTTATTTTTTGTTCATGTTTTTGTTGGTTTTATGTTTTTCATTATGTTCATGGATCATATTTTCTTCATTTAAATTTTTCAATTTTTTTATCAGGTATTATATCCTTAAAGTATAGTCTTGTGACCCATTCCATACGTAACTTTTGACGCTGAAAAACAAAATTAAACACTGCGCCTTTTTTTCCTCCTCTATTTTTTTATCATCTTCTTGGAAAGTGATGGAACTTGCGGAAATTCCTGAGTTGGTAAGAATGTTAATTTCTTTTCCGGTCTTTTTATTCTTTTAACTGTTTCATTGAATTTGAAATATGGGTCTTATTTAATCTCTGTGGCTCTGTTTTTTTTTAGGATTTGGTTTCTTCTTCTTGTGAGGCTTTGGAATCAGGAGAGATGAACATAGGTTCACAGAGAATTTTGGTTTCAGATCACATAAAGGCATATCAATACTCTTCTGAGAAAGTAGATAGCTTTGTGGTTGATATGGATTCTTTCTCTTCCAGCATCCACAAAGACATCATCAATGCCAATTCAAGAACAACAGTAAGAAATTTTTTTTTGTTTTATAAATTTTAAATTATATTTTACTTTGTGATGATGATTATTTTATTTTTATAATATTTGGCCCATCTCATGAGCAAAACAGAGTTACTGTCATGTTCTGTTAATGGGATGTTTTTTATTATGTAACCTCATAATTCTCGAATATACTAGTATCTCGTATCCGACACTTCTAACACCTCACATAAATGTTGTTTCTCCTAGTCTTAGTCGGACAACGTTGATTATATATATATATATATATATATATATATATATATATATATATATATATATATATATATATATATATATATATATATATATATATATATATATATATATATATATATATATATATATATATATATATATATATATATATATATATATATATATATATATATATATATATATATATATATATATATATATATATATTTAATTGTTATATGTGTTAATATATTAACTTCAGTGTCATGTTTGATATCGGTGTCTGTACTTCTTCAACGTGTCAGGATCATATTCGGCCTCTTTTTAGTGGTTCGTATCTTTTGGTTGTGATGAGACAATGATAAATTAACCTAAATGTTAGAAGTAGAACTTCATGTTTAGTCCAGAATTCGAAATAAATTTGTACTTAACCTAAGAATGTGCCCTCGGGTTCAAATCCAACAGGTGTCAACAACTCCTAGATTAATTCAATTGGCCGGATGGTAGAATTGGACTTCATATTAATCGGTTCTAAGATCAGATATCAAGTTTAAAAAAAAAACTTTGTACTTATATGAAAATTATGAAACAGAAAACATATATTAATTACCAACTTTTGTTAAACCTTTGCGGCCATTAGAGTCTAATATCTTTCTCAAGCATTATTTTTCTCCCACGCCTTCTCCATTAACCTTACAATTACAATATTTTAATTGATCAAGCGTTGAAGATTAGATAAAGCCAGTTAATTAACTTTGTGTATGACTTACTCAACTTCCACCACCAAGTTGCATTCTTAAGTTGCTCTTTCTTTTTAATTTTTGCACGTAATAATTTCTTTCACATGAATTATTTATTTTTTTTAACTATATAATATAGTTGCAGAGGAGCCTTTCTAGGAAAGGATCTCAACGTTGGGGTGATAGAAATATGAATGGTGGTAATGTCACAGTTCAAGACAAAGATATTGTCCCTACTACATGCTCTCCGAAAGGTACTATAGCAATTCCAAAGTGTTACCGACTAGTTTATTGTATTCTACTTAACTTAGTATTTGTTTTTTTTCATTTATTAGGATTTGGATCATCTTGGATTGATTTTTTTATGTCACATGACAGTTTAAAGAAAAATATTTGCACAAGAAAAATACAAAAAATACATGAAAGAATACAAATATATTTTTGTTTTTATGTTAGGGATAGATCTGGACCGATAAATCTCTGGCTTGTGATTTTGTTTTCATTCATGTCTTGTTCAGTTGAAAAAACGTTTCATGTTACTATCAACTTTTGGTGGGTTTGTTTTTCCTTGTTTGACCGTTATGGCAAGTTAAGTTCATCTGGTCACTAAATTCAAATGGTAAATGATATGCGTTATGTAAATTGAAAATTATGAGAGTTGTTGAAGATTAGTTAAAGGAAAAAGAATAAGAAACCAACCTATTATGTAAAATTGTCCAACTTAGTTGTCTGCAAGTTTCATTTCACCTGGCAGAAGCTGATATTATTAAGTTAAACGCTATCACTATGGTTTGAATTCTAGTGTGCGAGCTTCAAATGATTATTACCACTTTGTCTATAGACCTGAAAATGTTGTCAAACTTAGCTATATTCTTTTTAATAACTAATTGTTAGTATTATATTTACACATTTGTCTGAGATTTAGCCTCAGAACTCTTTTAACCGTTAATTCAATTGGTTCAAACTCGTTGATATAAGTTTATGGCTCAATCATATAGAAGGCTACAGAAGAGATTATATACCATTATCTAATTAATATGTTTCTGGTACACCATACTTGGGGGCCACATGTACGTACTGTCAATTATCAGAAATTTGGATATTAGTGTTGAGAACTTGTAATGTAATGTAAATCGTAAACTCTTGTTTTTGTTTCATTGAACTGTAGCTTCTTTGTTAGGACCCTCCAAGTCAACAGTAATGGCGGTAGGGTCCATACAGAATTCAGCAAACATACAACAACAAGTACATCATCAAATTACTATCACAACAGCTAGTAGTAACATCTGTAACAACAACACAGAAAACAAATGTATGATGAAGAGAAATAGTTTTGGAAGATCTTATTCATGGCTCCTTGATCCCAAGAAAATTCTTCTTATCTTTGCCACATTGTAAGATCACTTATCTATAAACATGTGTTAGTATTAATCCTTAATACATTCTCTGGTCGTAAATTTCACTTTTTTGGTTTATTTAAGAATTGATGTATCTAGATTATATACAAACTAGATACATTCGTGGTTGAATGAACCAAAAAAGTTAAATTTACTTATAACAGTGACCAGAGGGTGTACAGTTTTATGTACACTAATTAACATGTTTTGAAACTCGAAATAGGTCAAGCGTTGGAACATTATTACTGATATACTTGACTCTTAGTATCAGCAAACATAATAATGGAGTTGAAAATGGAAGTGATTTGCAGTAGTTACTTATTCGACTGCGACTTATACCGGATAGAATGAGATTTGAAAGCTTGCGAATTCTAACTAAACTTCCACCATCTTTATGTCTGAATCATTTACCTCTTCTGGAGGTACAAGAGGGAGTTAAAGGATGAGGAAGTTACTTTTTTCTTTTTCTCTTCTTAGGGTTTATATACCTCAGCTTGTATCATTCTGTTCTGTTTTTGGTCTCACATGCAATCATAATAGCAAATGAAACTTTTTCCATATTTGTAAATTTTAAAGTAAAGATAGGGAAAAAGAAAAGAGAAAAGAGAAGCAATAGTTGAATGTAATGAGGCCCATGAAGGCTACCTAGAGGCTACAATACAAAAGTGCAATACAGTGAGCAGTGGGAACTAAAGAGACATTGCATGCTCAATGGGATTTTTGGTCTTTGTCAAAAAAGCTGTAATCCACTAGCTGTATTTTTCAGGGTCAAATAATGTTTGATATACAGGGGAACTTTTGGGAATAAACTAGATGTGTCATGTGAATCATTTAGTTTAATTTGGCAAGTTTCTTATGTTGTGTAGTTGGTTTACATGACTAAGCATGTGGACGTTAGATCCTTTTCAAAAAAGAACCTTTATCTTAAGATTCATGTTTGCCACTAACAAAACCAAACAAACCTTATAAAAAAGTTAAGTTCTAAATCTTTAGAGAAGGAAAAAACGTTGTTTTTGCTAAATGAGTTTGGATCTTACAAAAACACTTTTAAAGGATGATGATCTTCAAACACGTTTATACATCTAACAATTCATAAAACTAAATAATGTTGGACTCTAATACAACTTTAGCACTCACCTCACCTCAGGTCTAGCATGGGTCATGGGTCAAATTTTTTCATTGAAATCTATTCTGATTGACCTCAAGTCCGCACCACTGCGGCTACAAAATAATGTCAATTTTAGATGTGAAAACTTTCAAGACTTTGTCTTTTAAAAATGGTATTTAGTTAGATTGAGGTGTATGAGTGTTATATATAAACTATTTTTAAATTCGATTCCCAAACAATCTAAGACTATTTTAGCCACTCCAGAAAAATTGTCCCTAGTCAAGGCTAGGGGCAAGGTGCGAGCATGTGATCCCGATCTCCTCCTTCTAACGTTAATTTTCCGATTAACCTCAAATTTGCGTTACTGTAACTATGAGGTATTGTCCACTTTGGGAATGAGAACTCTCACGACTTTGTCCTTTACAAAAATCGTCTCATTGAATTGAAATATATGAATATTGTATATAAACTATTCTTAGCCTTGATTCCCAAACAATGCAGCCCGAAGCACAGTATTCAATCTAACCATAATACCATGTTCAATTGATTAGGATCTCGTCCAAAATACCCAATACATGTAACAGCTCGAAAACCTAGGCAATGCGAGACTCCAATACAATTTCTATAGTTGTAATGCTGCAGTAAAAAAATATTAATACATACACCAGGTTAGGTGAACAAGAACAAATCAAAGAAAACCTAAGAAATTTGTGTCTATGACTAATTCGTCAATGTATGGGAATGAAAGAATTAAGGAAACTCACCATTCAAATGCCCATGTTTTTGCGCCTGCCTTTGGTACACCAAATAATCTTACATAAATACGTTAAATGAATGCTTATATAGGTTGTGAGCCTGAGTCTAAGAATTTTAATATGTTTAGCAAGTAATGTATTTTTACAAGTGAATGCAAACACAATGCATGGATATTATATCCCACCGGATAGTTTGGTAAAAAATAGAGATATCGTACATAACAATTAAGTATCAATGGAACCATAAAAAACAATTAGGCATCACAATTAAGTATCAATGGAACCATTAAAAACAATTAGGCAAGCAAAAAAGAAGGGTCCCTATATGTGACTTTGAAAACCAAACCATGGAGAAATACTTCACCAATTTGGCAGGACCAGAGGTTCCTTTCCCTTGAAGGAAAGAAAACTTAATTTCCATCCATTGTATTTTTCACAAAAGAGAGGCCAGCAGTACTCACCCGATCGAAACCGCCTTTCAACAGCTGGTCCTAGTAAGATACTGTTGAAGATTAACTACCATTCATATTTCTTAGAATACTTACAAATCAAGTGTTGGAAATGATGGTGATGTTTCATAATATAACAGAATGATGTATGATACAAAAAAGGCATACCTATTAGGTAAAGTATATGAAAATCAGTTGATAATGAGAATACTGGAAAAAAAAATTGTTTGATTCCATGGATGTTGTTTATTATTATACACAGAGGAAGAGTTGTTTGAGATAAAAACCTCACATACGGTTTTGAAGCCAAATAACCCTTTTTTTTATTTTTTTATGTAAGGTTAATTATTTTAAACCCATGTAAATATAAATAAAGAGGTTCATTAGCTTGTTAATTATGATTTGGGAAATGCAATTTATAATTTTTATGGTATGTAATTATCACATTTTGTGTCCCAACATTTAACAAGTTGAGTCAAACAAAGTTTATGCTCTCTCAATTGACTATAAATAGATTGATAAACTAATGTTAAAGCAAACCAAAATATATAATCTTTTGTTATGATTCTTAAGTCTTGTTCTATACTTTGTTATGAAATCAAAAACAATATACAAGTTGATTTGCATGGGATATGTTTTCACTAATGTTGTCCGAGAACATTTTAGTGGCTTTAAAATGAAGACTTATAAAATTTTAAATATGCTAATCACATTGGTTGTCATTGCATCAATTATAATTGATCAAAAAATTTATAAACCTTCATTTTAGAGCCATCAAAATGTTCTCTACAAGCAAAAGCATAGCCTATGTCAATGAAAATAAAATCTGTTCATAACATTCTATTTATAGCCAATTGAGAGGGGGCAGAAGCTTTGTTTGTCTACTTGTTTAATGTTAGCATAGAAAATGTGATAAAAGCATTATTTCATAAGAGATAGTAATATGAAAACAATGAAGATGAAAATTATAAATTGTATTTCCTAAATTTTAATTATATAAATTTTAATTATATAAGCTAATGAACCTCTTTATTTATATGGGTTCAAAGTAACTAACCTTACATAAAAATAAGGGTTGATATAACAAACCCCTCATAATAACTAACATTAGGCATAAGAAAAGGATAAACAAAACACCCAAGACAAACATCTGGCTTCAAATATTGGTTTATGAATCCATATTTTAGACAATTGACATAAATCAAAGGAGTAAAGGAAGAGAATCTTTGAACAGAATATCGGATGTCGGCTCAATTGGAAGGAAATTATGTGAGGCTTTCCAGAGTTATCATGAGGATAGGTGAGTGGAAATTGATCCCTATGATCGAAGAGTATTCGACTTGATATACAATATGGAGTTCAACAATAGAGAAAACCGCATCTCTAGTAGCGTTTTGAGATCCTAGACATTGTGCACTTATGCTTCCGGTCATGGAACAACCTCAATACAACTGCTGCAGTTTCTTCTATGGCTTTTGCGGTCACATCTGTATTCATTAGTAAATAAATTTAGATTTCATCAGCCTAAGTTTGAAAGTGATATTTTGCAACTCCCTTTGAAATAATCTAAATCACAGTTCAAATTATAAAAATTTAAAATCGCGTGTAATTTAAACTTGTTACCAATAACCGGCCAAACAGGGTTTTGAGCAAAGAGCTTTCTAGAAAATTCAAGTTCCTCTCGAATATAATCCATCTCCGAGTAATTAGTCCTTGATTCCAAACTCAATCCCAAAGTTTTAGCCCTTGTTCTTCTAATCTCCTGTAAAACACCATGATTTATAGTCAATCCAAAAACCTTCTTTGGATCAACCTGAGAGAGAGTCTTAGGCATATCCACGCCCATCACAATCGGTACATTAGCGACCTTATACCCTTTCTGAGCAAGATAAATAGACAATGGCGTCTTCCCAGTGCGTGAAACCCCAGTGAGCACAATATCCGCCTTGGCAAGATTCTGCGGAGATGCCCCATCATCTTGCTTGATAGTGAACTCAATAGCTTCAATCCTACGAAAGTAATCATCGGAGAGAGGAACACCAGAAGCTCCGCGAGAAAGGCCAGAAGGAGACGCACCCAAATGAGAAGCAATGGCCTCTGTAATGGGTCCCAGTACATTAGTAGAAGGCACACCCCATAATTTGCAGGCCTTCTCAGCAGCTGAAGATAATGAAGAATCTGCTAATGTATACACAAGCAATGCATTTTCTTTCACTGCTTGCTTTATTATCTCCAATAACCTTTCCACATCATCAATCTAATCAACAACAACAATCTCAACATAAGCATTAATAAAACTACTTAGGAGAACTTATGAACTCTATAACACTGACCAACACTTCTGAAAAAGATTTCAGATGTGTGTCAGTGTTAGAAACAGAGACCCGACACTTGTGTCGGTGTCGGTCTCAGTGTTTCTGATGACCGTGCTACGAAAGGATAAAGAATGGAGGGTTAGAAAAGTTACCCCAGAAAACAAATGGGTACTAACAGGGCAGCCATGATCAACCAAGCAGTAATCGAACTGACCCAACGCGGCATTAACGGAGTGTTCAGCGGTCCAACCGGTTCCGTCAGAGACAATATAAATGGACTTAGCCCTAAACTCTGAACCGTCATCACTAACGGCGTCATCTGGTTCAACAGCGAAGGGAAGTGTAGGTGGGGAGTGGCTGGGTTCTAGGGTTTGGGTTCGTGGACTAGAGCGGTCCAATTTTCGACCGGAACGTATTGCACGAGCCCTGGACCACCGGTTCAGCTGGGGACTGACCCTGGGTTTCCCTGTAACTGATTTGGATCCAGTGTCGTTGTTGTTGGGGTTGCAGGCTTTGATTCGTAGAATTGGAGGGGTGTTTGGACATAATTGCGAAATTGGCATGGCTAGCAACTTTTTCGGATTAGATTAGTAGGATATTTTTATTTATTTTATTTTTAAAGATGTTTCGGATTATTGATAAAGTGCGACAACCACAATAATCTCTGTGTCATGTTTCTCATTATCG